TCAGAAACTGCTATGTTTACATCAGGCAGGGTTAACCCTAGAGGGACCTGACACCCAGACCACTTCATTGAGCTGAAGTGGTTTGGGTGACTATAGTGACCCTTTAATAAGTGTGTAGGGGTTTAGAAAAATACCAATTTCTGCCTTATTAGAGATTTTACCTTTCATCAGAAAGAACAAAGGTAAACTGTTAGTGCCCCGACTCACCTAGGAGGTTGTGCCTTGACAATGCAGGTGACCTTACATTTTAATGGCCATTGGAGTGATACTAAAAAACCTCCAGTTATTTAAAAATGGATAGGGATAAGGGATAGAGCGCAAGTAACTTAATTAGGTAATTAGTGTGTGTGTATCTTAGTAAGCAAACTTGCAAGGATTATATTTACACAGACGCACACTTTCTAATGTTCCCTAAAATGTACATCCGCCTCCCCCTTCCCCTACACTGACCTCTTACACCGACTGTGGACTTGTCTGATAATACATATGTTTTGGAATTATATTTATACATTTGCTGCTGCAAATTGATTACCCATCCTTCCTCTCATTCTTCAATTTCCCAAATCTGGCTCACAGCCACATTCCCAAAGTAAACTCAGTTATCTCCAAAGTGGTTCTACATGCTTTCATCCATCTTGCACCACCACATCGTTTCCTTTTTAATAATAAACTTTCCTGCTTCTTCTGAACGTGCTGGCTTTTAACCTTTTAGGCTGTAAGGAAAACCGTGGTAAAAGATTCCTAGTTTAGAGCTATATATCTTAAGCTTAGACTCTGCCATTGAAACTTAGAATTAGGCTCATTGACCCATTAATTTTTCAACAAATCTTAAGGATATTAGATAATGCTCTAAAAAATAATACTAAGAAAGATAATCCAAATTAGTTTTGCCTACACTAAAAGTATTTTGGCGATTCGGGAATCCGAACTGTAAGGTTCCGAAGTGTTGAACAGCACTGCAATGGTTACTGATTGGCACTGTTCAAAGCTCTCTGTGCACAGCCTCCAGTCTCATCAGAGAAGGGATTTCTGGAATTTGTATTTCAGTTATCAGTTGTAGCTAAACTACAACTCCCTGAATCCTCCGCTGTGCTTTCTGATAACATATACAAATACATTTCTAGACACAGATTGGGAGGGAGCAACATAATTACAACCCAGCCAAATTAAGTATAATACAATGGGGTTAAAATGCAAAATACTGCTCAAATAACACAAACAGTCCAACTACACGCCGCCCCTCGCCTTAAACGGTGGGTTGACCTAGAACACAATATATTCAGAAGTGATTTCCCATCCCTATACAGCTGGCTCCTGTAGGAAGCCAGACCCCTCTGTCCCCCCTACCTCCACAGCAGTCCTCACAACGATCAAAATATGGGATAAAATAACCGAAAAACATGATCTTGTTTCCCACCCTCCCCCGCTTATGCCCATCCTCCGAAACACGAAATTCACGCCAGGTATGTCCCCAAAGGACTTCATCCACTACGAAGATGACAATCTGACCCGCATTCACCAATTTTATAAGAACCCCAAAAATTATACCATTCACGTAACTTCCCCAACAGACCCCTCTCACAACCCGAGACTTTTTTCGTTATATACAAATACGCAGCTTTATCGACAAGCCCTCCCTAAAGAAGGCAAGCACCACTAGTAGAAAAAGCATGTAGCAAACACCCACTCCACAAAGGGCAGATCTCAACGATATATTCCCTACTTAGCAGAAACACACGGGAAGGCTCCATGTCCTATATGGCAGCCTGGGAAAGGGACCTGGGCCCCATAGGTGACCAAGACGACTGGGCAGCTATCTGGGAAGCCACAGCAACGATCTCGATTTGCGTCAACCACAAGGAGCAAGCATATAAAACACTCCTCAGATGGTACCTTACCCCCCTACGCCTAAAACAAATTAAACAACTAGACAGCGATCTCTGCTGGAAGGGGTGTGGGAATAGGGGAACGTACATCCACATGTGGTGGGAATGCCCAAAGGTAGCAACAATCTGGCAACAGATAGCGCAATTAGCATCACAAGCACTACACACTACCATTCCGATGGACCCATGGCTGTGGCTCCTCTCGAGACCCCTCAGAAACACCCAAGGGCACAAAATAAGCTGATAGCCAAAATAGCACTAGCCACCAGGCAAGCAAATGCAGAGAAATTGGGGAGCCGAGACACCCCACCCATATTCGTAAAACGCAAAATCAATGACGCAATGACAATGGATAAATTCTCCGCTCTTGTACATGACACCATTAAACACTTTGACAAAATATGGGAACTCTGGATCTTTGAATTTCCAACCCTACCGAACAACCCCTCCCGCAGAATAGACTAGGCGGGTGGGCATACCTTTGGAGGATGCCCTCCGAGGAATACCCCACTTCCCATCCCTCTCAATTTCTGTGCCCCCCCTCTTTTTCTTATCCCCCCTTAGTATACTAATCAGGCCACCTCAATAACTACCCTGCACCCCCTCGGACTGAAATTCCTCCTCTTTCTACCACACCCTTTATCACACACGCATCCTCATGCCATGCTGGAAACGGCGACCCTCACAGAACACACCAATTCTACAACCGACAATCGATAGTTCCAACCACAAAGAGACTCACAAGGAACTCGAACAACACACTCACTAAGCCCACCCTGAGCCGACTGACTCACAATGGGACCCCAAGGAACAACTGACGCCTCCAAAAACTCACACACACAGATAGGTTCTAACCGGACCCCCTCCTGCCACCACGCCCACACCAGATGACAAAATAATCCTGACCACTTCACCACACAAGGACCCAGGCACACTTATCACAGAACCTGCAAGACAGCGGTACAACAAACTAGACCCAAACAAACAACGTTTTTAAACACGGGCAGTGACTTTAGAACTAGGGAAATACATCCCACCCAAAACTGGCAGACCACCACCCACAATACGATAAACACGAACAACCAACAACGCCCCAATCAAAATGCACTCACTTACACAGCTACCCGACCAAAGACCCACGCGAAGACCCCATGAAAGGCGACATACGCTATCAAAAACACGCTAGCACACCCCGAAGGAAT